ACCTAATTCTTTCCAGAGTTTCTGAGTTGTTGTTCCGACTTGAGCACATGTTCATGTACATTTCAAACTCGTGCAGTCATTTTTCCAATGTGTCTGACACCACATGAATGCAGGGTGCGGTCCCAATTAACACCAATGCAACATAACTTCAGGCCCTGCTTTACTGTGTATTCACCAATGACCTCCAAACCAATTAAACTCTCATCCTCTTCATACTCACATAACTTTAACAACACTTAAAAAAAAAAACAGATAATTGTGGAAACTTGACACTACAGGCTGAAGTACAGCATTATATTGAAGAGCCTGGCCACAGATCATGCTGCTGTATTTTAAAAGAAGGACGTCGGTGCAGGCTAACACCTGGTGTAGCACTTTCTGCAAGAGGGGCAAAAAGAGAGAAAACATGGGATTAGCTGTCCGGAAACATGACTCACTCATGACGTTACTCCATGACAGCTGGATGTATCCTAACTATTTCACCATATCAACTAAAAACGGGCAATGGTGCAATTTGTTGTATTTTCTGCACAACTTGTTTCTGCTGTCTCCAAGTGCTCAGAATATCTGTTAGTGCAGGTTTAAGCATTTTGTCTCCTGGTCCAAATGTGTATTGACAGAACTACAAAAAGCCTTTTACTTCACACTCTCATCTCTCAACTCAAAGCCATCTTCACCTTAACACCTCTTCTTCTCACTTCATTTAGTCTTTGCCATCAGCCTCTTCCTCCTGATCCTCTTCAAATCAATTGGTCATTTGCACCCTCATGCTGCTGCCTTTCCAACCTTTCCTTATCTTTCTCTTTTATCGTCTCTACTCCATTGCTGTCTTTTAATTGACCTCTTCCCTCTTTCTTCCAGTCCTTCTTTCTCTCCTTTACACCCCGTTTCCTCTCTTTCTTTCTGAGTCCATTGCGGTGCATCGGCAGCAGTGCCCTGGACGTTTTCTCCATTAGTGTGAGTTACAGCTTCCCGGGCCGGAGGATCTCGGCCTGTGAAAGTGCTGCTCTTACTCACATAAGGCAGGTATCCATTTCTCCCGTCGCTTGCCTTTTGTCCCAAGCTCAGACAACAACAGTTCCATTAACAAAGCAGAGGATAACACTCTGTCAGGTGGTCAGTCTATACACCCCGCTGACCCACACAGAGTGTCTGCCGGCTGCAGGGTCTCGCAGAGGTCAGTCAGCTTTTATTATGTCTGTGGTTACAGGAGGCAGTGACACAGTGTGAGACCAGCCAATGTCAAATGAGTCGCTTTGTTCTTTCGCTTTCAGTGATACTAAAGAGGGACCGGACACAGTGTGTGTAGTGTCACTGCCAAGAGGGATCCAGTGCTCCTATTCCAACACACTCTTACTCCCAACAGGGCAAATATAGCAACTTACTCAGCAGCCATTGATTCAAAATATGATCGTCAAAAATCTGTGCAGCTTCAGTTTTGCATCTGTAGGGATTCACAGTCAAGTTAAGGACAATAATGCAATGTTTGATTAGACTTTTAAAATGAAATGATTGAGGAAGCATAAATAAATAAGTAATGGCAAGTAAGACTCTCAGGATAAAAACTTAGTAGTATGCATGTCCAGGCTTTTTCATCACCTAACCTGCCTCATCTTTGGACTGTGGAAGAAAACCCCCGAAAACCAACACAGACAGAAGGAGCAGCAGTTGTCCCCAGTTTGACAAAAAAAAAAAACTCACAGATTTCATTGATTTAGTGGATAACTACATAGTTATAACCTGTTCTAGCTGACACGTTTATTAGCTCTGATTAGTTTAAGCCTCCAGAGTAATTTTGTTGCACGTCGATAGATAACTTCCCATCAGAAATTAAGAAACTAGCTTCAAGGCTAATTAGCATTTTCAAATCACTGTGGCAGACGTGTCATCAAGGTTATAATAAGAAAACTGATGGTTGAGATTATTTCTAATATGATGTCTAACAATGGTTAAACTCATAATCATTCCTTAAAAAAATAGCTATTGCTGCTCAACCAAATTTTTGCAATACTATAAGCTAATGCAATAAGGGTGGTTTTAAAGTAATATAAATGCAAGTATAGCATTCACATCTTTTGCCAGGGACTGTAGGCTTTAATCTTCAACCACATTTTTGAATCTCTTTGATTCATGGCTTTGATGTAGCCACGTTTTAAACATTTGAATCTATCTGTTTGATGACTGCATGTCTGTCTCATTCTGTCTCAAACAGTCAAAAATCAAGTTTTGGGTCATTGTCATCATTCCCCTCGCCCCCAAACTGGCTGTCAGCAACCATTATTTTGAAAATAACCTTTCCTGATGTGTATTTTTTATGGCAGCTTCGACTTCCAACTGCTGTGAACACTGGCGTCTGTGAGAAAGAAAAAAAAAAAGTTGGCCAGACAAAAAAAAATAGAGGTCTAAATGCAGCAGGGGATGGATCGGTGCCTTGCAGATTTCACCAATGTTATTGTTTGGCAAGACGGACTAAACCACAAACAGAAAAAGGCTTTCAACACAACAACAATGGATTAACTGCACCAACAGCAGACAGAGAGAACCGCGGTTCCTCCAGCATGCAGATACTTAAACAGCTCATGGCTCAGCTCTCTCCTTCACCTATTATTTAAAGATGCCTCTGTGTTTCCCCCTCTTGTAATTCCCTCAGCATGGTCATGCAACTTTGATGAAGCGTAACCCCGTTAAGAGCCTGCCAAGGAGCTCTGTACACACACTGTGGGCTGACAGCGCCGGGACAGTAATAGCTCTGGCTCTGCTGAGGAAATGCTCTCACCCTCAACGCCTGAAAACGTGACGGCAGCATGCTGCACAAATCTTACGCAATAACTCGACATGGAGCCATCAAAAATTCACAGAGGCTTTTAGGCTCTTTACAGTTTATGTACAGTTATGTTTAGTTACAATCTCCTAATGATTTCACTTTGTATTCCTGAAACTCATGACATTTTGTCCAGACACAGTGCTTGTTTTTTCCACTGACAGGCAAAACTGATTGATGATTATGTCATAATAGAAAGGGAAACAGCTTTTACATCCCCCACCAAACTCCATTGAAAAAAAAAAGAAAAGATTTTGACCTTTCACAACAAGAGAGATGCTGGTCTTCTGTTTCTGTGAGTGTTTAGTTTGTTTGTGATGTGTTGTTGTTTGAATCCAAGCTAACCCATGAAAGCATCAACATCTCTCAACAACACAACCAACATGTGCATGAGTAAAGGCAGTAGAGAAGGTGGTCCCATGTTGTGGGAGTCAAAATGACTGTTGTTGTCTGTGGAGTCTGGTGGTTTTGAAGGTAAAGATGCAACAGCTGTTTCTGGCTTGAAAAGGTGCGTCTAATTATTTATTAAAAAGTGTATTTCTGAAGCAATCCTTTCTGTAGTATTGTCTAACAAATAGAATACAAATGTGAGCCTGTCAGTGGCAAAAGCAACAACTTTTGTGGGAAATAACTTAACTTGGTGCATATGCCCAGGGATTATTTTGCAGCCATTATAGCATGTGCAATGGCTGCAGCCTGAGGCGATCCACATGAGCCATGGCAAATCTTTGTGTACCTATTAGTTTGAGGGAACATAGGTAACATGATTGAAAGTAACACGGTTCCACGGTTCAAAGCCCTAAAGAGCAACATGAATCTCAAGGTTTTCCTAATAAACACTGCAGCTGTTCTGCTGTCGGCATTTGATTATAGAAAACATTAAGACACAAACGAGAGCATCCAACAGACAACAAAGTATCAACACAACAGTCCTGATGTCTGCAGCAACAGAAGGCTCCATTAACAGCTCCCCACTGCTGTGATCATACATTACAGCATCCTCACTAATTAAATCAGTGAACTCTACTCACACATAGAGTCAACATCACGACTTTTAAACAGCCTCAGGGCCAACCGAGTGTAGTATCCACTGAGCTTTAAATATAGACCAGAGACTACTGAACGCTGTGAGCTATCATACTGCAACCACATCTCATGAGGCTCATATTTCAGGCACAGAAACTCAATTATGAGGGCCCAGGTTTTTGGATTTCTTAGAATAATAAGGCTACGGGGCAGAATTCAATTAAGAACACCAAGAATATATTTGGAAATCTCTCAGAGGGAGACCCACAGAGCAACAGAAGGGATTTGCAACATTCAGAGAAGGAGAGTAGAGGTTACATGTGCTAGAAGGTACAGAAGATTTTCAGAAGGGGAATTAATAATTGATGGGAATGGAGGCTCAGAGGTTTGGTGCAAACATAGACCAATAGTTGTCAAGTTGCAGACAGGCCAGTCCTGGCAAAGACCCTGGTTTCCTCCTTCTTTAAAAAGCCATTGCATTGAACCCATGTTGAGGTGCATTCAGCAGGAACATGCAAGTCCTGCAGTCTAATAGGGACGCTTAAGGTGCCCAGAGTGCAGTTCTAACGCCACAGTAAGTGAATCTGTGCAGGAAAATATGCACACACTGCCCTTTTTCCGTCTCACAAAGTAATTTTCCACGACTGTTCCTGCTCGTTCAAGGTGTCAGGGCAGCTGAGGAGGCAGCGGCTGAATTACAATGCGCCCTGGCTGCTCATGCAGTCTCTCCCCTCTTCACTGACAGACACACAGAGCATGGCATGTGCCCACAGCGCTCAGGATTTCTGTGACCCAGACTTGACAGCTGACAATGAGCTCCACGCGCAGCTGACGACGGCTTGATTGTTTCAATATTTTGCATGTGCAGGACCAACTTGAATCGTCTCCTCACTATATAGACTCAGACTCCTCATCTGTGCAAAAAAAACAACCCAAAAAACTGATGGAGACAAGGAGCCAAAAGCGAACTAATACGTTTTTACATATTTACTAACTGCATGTATGTGACGATAACTGGCTCTCAGCTACCACATAAAAACGAGCTTTATGCTGATGGATGAATTGACCTTGCAGGAACAGGTCATTTCATAGAGTTTGGCGCAATGTGCATGGATAAAGTGGAAGAAACCTGCAAATAAAAAGAAAAGCCCACCTCATCCTGCTGCGGCTGATTCTGTCTCTGGTTCGGCTGCTCCTTGGTGGCTGTCATTATAAACTCCTCTTACGATCAAACTTGATTGAATCCGAAAGAATTAAAGCCAGTTCCCCGTTTTTGTTTTGTTTCCCAGGGAAAGAAAAGTCAGGAGAAAGGGAAAGATGCGGTAGCAGTGGCGGAGGGCAAAAGCAGCTCCGTCTTGTCAGCTGCGGAATCTTAAACAGGACTGTGAGGAGGGACGGAGCCGTCACGATTGAGGATCTGCGAGGTTCTTGGACGAAGCGTCAGACGAGGAGCCAACGTGCTGTTCACATCAGCCTCGTGCAGGAAGGAGAGGGAGGAGAGTTTCGGACGCGCTCGTTACCGAACCGAGAGAGCCGAAGTGTTCGCACATTTTACCTCCCTGACACTTCTCCTACACGTCTACGTGAGGAAGTCTCTCCTCGGTCTGCTCTCAATGATGCTGGTATTTTGGAGGAAGGGGGGGGGGGGGTATAGCTCAGAGAGGAGGAGGAAGAGGAAGAGGAGGAGGGGTATTCAAGTGGTCTTGTGATGATTTTTCGAAAGGGAGGGGGCTGGTCTTTCAGGATTTAAGGAGCAATTCATGATGAGAGTCCAGAAAGAACTATTTTGCCTACAGATAATGCCTTTGCAGTCGTTTACTGCCACTGGGGGAAAGGTTTATTTTTCGCTGAAATCCTGCATCACACCCCGGTCGCTGCGCCTGCAGCCGTGCAGGTGCTGTCCATGGTGCTGAAAACCCCACTCATTTTTATCACCTCTGCTTTTTATTTATCATGCATTAAACACAGACTATATAGTGTTAGACATTTGTCTGCTTCTTGCTACCTAAAATTGTGTTATTTTGCTATAAAGAAGCTTTATTTGGGCCTTAAGCGATGAGCTTAAATGGTCAATAAAAGAGATTCAGCACAGCTCGCTGCGGGTTGTTAAATGCGTGCAGGGCAAAGATGCAATTGCATCGGTGTTTGGAGTGCTTACCGGTGATATGACACCTGTGAACCCGACGTTATATCAAACTTACCGGCGGGCTTAGAGGGAAGCGATGCTTTCTGTGGTCAGAGGCTGAACTTTATGATGCTGGAGCCCTCACGACGCACACAGACACTCGGAGCGAGAGGCTGGATATTAAGTCTCATATCTTTAATGTCTCTGCCAGACACAGATCGATGTTTTATATCTGTCTTTGACTTCTGCGGGGAAGGTTATTAAGGTTTGGAAGGATTGCGGGATGTAATAACTCACACACGCTAGACACTGAAAAAAAAAAAAACATGATAACAGACCAGTGGTGGAAAGTTACCGAGTACAGTCATATTCTGCTTTTAAGAACAAATTTGAGAGACTTTCCGTTTACTCCAATGCACTATTACAGAATAATCAATTTAACTATAACTAGGGCTGTCAAACAATCATTTTCTAAATCACAATTAATCTTATTATTTCAGTGGGTAATCACATTTTTCGCTGCATGTTCCATTATTTTGCATTTCACAACAGTTTTTTGTCATGTTTTTATTTTGTATTATGTACTGTCTTAGGCTAAGAGTAATTGACTTCCTGTTTGGATATCAAACTGCTTTTATTCTGAAATAAAGTAAGGAACTTTGCTGGTTTCAGAACATGAAACTTGCTACAGATAGTAAAGTAAATGAAGACAGGCGAAGGGAACGGTACAGTGAAGTGTTTGATGTCATAAGGTGGATGTTACGTGTAACCTTGAGCTGAGCTGTCTGAGAGTTTTTTAAAGTGAAATAAGACAAAATAGAAGGCAATGAACGTGATTTAAAGAATTGAATGCATTAATATCAGACCTTAATCACATTGTGATTCATGTGTTGATGTTGATTGCTCTTAAAAAAAAAAACTTTTATTGACTACAGCACTCCATTTATGTAAATTCATCAACAGAGAACTAGAAATCTAAAATCACTGACTGGAGCAATTCTAAGACATCCTTTATTAATCCCGCAAGGGGAAACTCAGTTTTACACTGTGTATTTGTGTATTTCGTGTGTGTGTGTCATGATCAACAACACACATGCACAAACAGGATCCTTTGAACATGCACTAATGGAGAGATGTCAGAGTGAGGGGGCTGCCTGCAGCAAGCACTCCTGAGCTGGTGTGGGGGTTCGGTGCCTTTCTCAAGGGCACCTCGGCAGTGCTCAGGAAGTGGACTGGCACCTCTCCAGCTACCAAACCAATTTCCAGACTTGTTCTGTACCGGGACTTGAACCAGTGAACCCCCCCCCCCCCCTCCCCCCAGTTCCCAACCCAAGTCTAATTTACAAACACAATGTTTTAAAAACAACCTTTAAAAGTTGTCATTCCTAGTTATCTACTGCCTACAGAAAATTATCACCAGGATCTGATCTGAAACTCCTTTATATCGAGTGTCTGCTCGTAGCTGTCCCTGCCTCGACCTCACTGTTGTGGGTTACTGTCACTGATCTCAGACAGTTGTTTCTGACTATAGCAGGCTGCTGGTTTCATAAAACAAGCTCTAAAACCTCCACTGTAAAGCACCTGCTCAGCAGCAAACAGCAAAGACACAGCTGGAGACTGCTGAGTGTGAGTCAGCATAAATCACAAAGCAATGCAATTCAGTTTGAAGCTTATTTCATGGCTCTAACTCACAGAGGCTTTAAGGGAGGCAGGTGACAACAGAGCAAGAGAGTCTGCTGGCTCTGTGGTCTGGCTGTTGGGGTGGTTACACAAACACAGGAGGTTCATCCAGGAAGCAGCAGATAGAGTCCAGTTCAGGGCTTAAGTTTTCTATAGTTTCTTAAATGACCTTGTTTCATTACAAGACAGTCTCAGACCAAACTTCCCCTCAAAACACGCACTGCTAAACATAAAGCAGCCATCCGCAATCACAACATGGACTCTGCAATAGCAAGACATTACAGACAAGCAAACCCTGGTCTGCTGCATCTATCTGGGTTTGGGGCATTGAAAAGGTCTAACCCTGCCGGAGAGGGGGAGACATTGTTGACAAACCACTGAGAAGAGAGGCCTTTGGATTTATACCCCCAACACAGTTGAACCATATGGACTAAGTGTTTTTTTTTTTTTATGTTGTTTCCAGTCTTTTCTGTTATGTCTCTATAGAGAAATGGCTGTTGTCTTGGACATATTGTATAAACTGGAGGCCTATTGTAAATATGAACCCACTTTGGGGGTAAAGTTACATTAGAGGGCTACACATGAGTGATGTCACAGTATTGTCTAACTGTCTGCTTACCTTTCTTATCGAAATGAGAGATGACTCTCTGTGAGTAAGAGCGTATGTTGGTTTTTCAAATCCTTACCTGTACCGTCCTTTGCACCTCAACACATGTACCATAAGTGATTCATCTGCTTCAGTACTTTCTTTGGATTCTTCCTGTGTGAAGATATCCTTTGGAGTATTTTTGCCATCTTATCGGTCCTTCTCTGAGAGCACCGACCTCCCGCTGTGGAGGGGCTGAAGCACAAGAGTCTTCCTTCTCCAAAAGTAAACAATAGTTTGGTGCAATCTAACTGCAGTGGCTTTTATTTTTGGTTTAGGCACAAATACTGATTGGTTGATTTTGTGAAAAGATCATAGTTCTCGTAAAAAAAAAAAACTCCAAATGAACTTGTTTAAAGTTAAGTTTTTGGACAGCTGAAGAGAGTAAGGATTTATTGTGAGGAGAGAGTAGGGGTATGACATGCAACAAAAGGGCCGAGGTCAATTTTGAACCCACGGCCCCTACAATGAGGACTAAAGCCTCTGTATATGGGGCACTCGACATAACCGCTAGGCTATCAGACACCCCTAAATTAACTTTATTTAACATTTGAACTGCTCTCTGAAAGTTCCTCAACAGCTCTTAAAAAAGAACATACATTTAATCAATTCATTTAAAAAAAACATGCTGAGTGTCAAGAGAAAAAAAACTGTGACATTCTTGTCAATGCTCATGTTTCTTAATATTCGTAATTTGTCACTAACACACAAACTGCCTTGAGGCTGAGTTGGGTGAACATATGGAGCATTTTGCAGCTAGAGCGGCTGATCATTTCCCCATGAGATGGTAGAGATGAAAAAACGCTAACAAAGAGTGAATCATTCACTTAAATTTAACAGAAGAGCAAAATCAAACCTCTGAATGAGTCATTGTTTTGCCCTTAAAGGCAGGGTTTTTATTTTCCTACAGATCCACTTTTTAAGATTTTTGTAGAAATTGTCTTTAGGTCCTGACAGAAATCAATAACTCATGTGCTCTGAAAAAGCAACAAAGAAAATCCTTCATCTGTAGCAGTTGTAAGCCTGTAAAAACTTCAACCAATGTCTGTCACGTGGTACCAATCTGATGAACCAATCATGTCTCCCTGTCTCCCTGCTCGCTCTCTACCTCTTGCGTACACTAGCTCACACTCAAAGCGCGTCACCGATGACAGAGTTTATACTGTGAGTTTACTTACCGCTGAATGAGACATGAGACGACATAGTTTCTACACAATGCAAGAGATGAGCTGAGGTCCACTTCTGGAGTAACCTGCCTTTAAAGTCTGAAATTGCAGCTGTTTGCTAAGAAGATAACAATGCCTTCTTAAACTATAGCGGTGATTTTACGTAATTTTAGCTCAGATGAGAATTATATCTCGACTCTAAAGTTACTGCTACATATTAAGAAATATTGATTTTGTTCTATAAAATAGTCATTGCTTATCTATTTGAGTTATCACTCCTTTAATAAGGTGTTCCAGGGGTGTCTTCTTTTCCCTTGTGCATTGGATTGTGGGAAAATAGACCCCCTTAAGAGAGCACTCAAAATTAGCTCTTGTTTTATTTGCATTCTGGTTGTTTTGAGCGTCTTTATTTTGGCATGAATCCAGCGTGATCACTGCTCAAACCTGTTCTCAGTGACTGTGCAGTGTGGATTTGGGATGGTGCTTTTGTTTGCAGCGCAAACTCAAAGCTAACAAAGCTAAAACAGCGAAGAACAGAGCAGTTTATCATATTCCAGTCAGTACAAGGACTGCCCTCACTGGAAGCTTGCCCTCCTCCTGGGACTCTCCTCCACATCCTGTTTGAGCATTCAGCTCAGACTTGAAGCAAATGAGCATTTGAAGTCAGCTCCATTTTACTGATTACACTTCAAACCAGAGCTCATAACAAACTCTGAATGCTCAGGGGAGAATTCAAATGAATTAACAAACCAAGTAAAATAAAATAAAGGATAATTATTCTCAATTTAATGATCTGCCTGCTCCACGTTCATGGCAATGTGGCCAGGATAAGTATTTTAGTGTCAAAATATAGCTCTTAAAAGGGACACATTTTTCCAAAAGACGTTCCCTTATTTGGTGTTTTTATGGTGGAATTGACGAGCGCTGTCGTGCACGTCATTCTGATGACAGCCACAGCATATGATTCACAATATGTTCATAAAA